GATTACTAGGATCACTCGTTGAGCATCATTTTGGTACTTTCATTGAGCAAAAATCAAGCGAGAATCCTCCTAAAAAATACACAAAAATTCACCCTGATCACACAAAAAAAAAAAGAATCCAAGATAAACAATTCTGAGTGACTAAAAAGAAAAACTTGAAATGAGATATGCAATTAGAGATCTCAGAGGGTAGAAGGTACTATATATACTCTCTATGAGATGTCTTGTAAACCTAATCAATATTTAGATATTCAGTACAAAATCACTCAGAACAAAATCACTCTCGCTTGCATTCAATTCAACACTTCGATCCTTAACGTCCACCACCACTCCGGACATATGCCCAGCTTTCATTCTAGCAACATCAATCCCATTCTCCATTCACTCAATCTTCTTAGACTTCGTAAATGTTTCGATTGACTCTTCATATTTATTGAATCATTTTATCATGCTGAGATTGACAATGCTTATGAGGCTAAAAAATCATCTAATCTTGATTATTCATGAGGTTTGTACTCTAAATCGATTACAAATTTGAATGATGGTACTTACTATTAGAGGGATAAATGATGGATAAGTTCTTATGGAGACCCGATAGTGATAGTGTAACGAAACATGCCATGAGTATCCTAACACACACAAAGGCTTAAATTCCCATAGAATGAGAAATATTGACCACAATATAATTTTAAGCATCACCATTCTGCTGATGGATATAATATTCACTTAACACATCCAAACATGTCTGGGCATAATTAGAGGAATATTATTCTCATGACTGACCGAAAGTGTCGTACGTCCAATCTCTTTTAAGGTGTTTTTTGGTGGAATTTGTTAATGAATTTTGTTAGCATGTTCTTCATGAAGTGTAGAGATTATATACACAAAATATCAACTTAAAATCAATCGAGAAGTCAGTTAAATAAATTGTTGAAAACCATTGCGTTTATGTATATTTTTGCGCAATGTTTTTGAATAATTTATTTAACTGACTTCTCGATTAAATTTTAAGCTGATGTTTTGTTGACATAATTGTACACTTCATCAAGAACATGTTCACTCAATTTTATCAAAAAAAGTTCATTCGGAAGCACCTCAAACGGGCTTGGTCGTCCGGCACTTCCGGTCAGTCTGGTTGTATGAAAAGATTACTCTCTAAGTTCATATATACTCTTTGCAAATAAGATTCAAACATTAAGGGTATGTTTAATAACAAAAATATTTTCTGTTTTTCCAAAAATTTGGAAAACTGGAGATAGAAAATTAGAAAACGTGTTTAGCTAACCATTTTCCAAAATAAAAAACCAGAAACAAGTCTCGGATTTTCCTTTGAAATGGAAAACCGACTTTTATATGTTTTCTCGTTTTAGAAAACTCGCTGCTACAGTAATATTCATTTATTCGCTCGCCCTCCTCCGCTTAACTTCATGACTCCGCTTTGATTAAATTTACCTTCCTCCTCCGCTCCAGCATAAAAGTCGGTTGTGAGCTTCGCCAAAGACTGCACCTCTTCTCCAACACGCCACAACTCCAGATTCGTCCTGAAAACCAAACACTGCACCGCTCCAGCTTAAAATTTTCACTTTTTTCTGTTCAAAATTGATATTATCCTGAAAACCAATTCAGCTTCTTGAAGCCTGAAAGTCATGGTTAGGCATCATTTTTTTTTTCTAATTTCACTTTTAGCTTCGTTTGGAATCCTTAAAACCAGTTCACTTTTAGCTTCAGTTTTGTTAATTTCTGGCAATTTTTTATGCACTAGTCTGTGGATTGATTAGGGCTTATTTGAGTTTGTACTTTATGTAGATACTTTTGTATTCTTGTTTTGTGCTTTGAGATGTGGAGCCAATGGTCTAATTGATTTGTGATGCTTTATTTCTACTTTTGGTGTTGGTAGTGAAAATTGTGTATGAAAGCCCATAACTTGTATAAATGTGGAGTCTAAAGCCATCTTAGTTGAAGTGTGTCATTGTCTTGCGGCAATATTTCTCTCGATTAGACAGAACCGTGATGTTGCTGCAGTTGCTAGCGATATGTGCTTTAGCAAATCTTCTTTTGGACCGTGAAGCTTCTGGAAGAGTACTTAGTCACGTCTTATAAAAATCATTACAGTTGTGACTGGATTTTCGTAAGAATATGGGTATGTGAAGATACAGTGCAATTTCTTAGCATAGGAATTCATAAATTAATGTTGTGCTTGCAGATTGTATAGACTGAGTGTGTGATTGGTGTTTGTTTTGGTATTAAAATAAAACATAATTGAATTAGATATCTAACTTTAATATTCAAATCAATTGGATATCAGTTGGTAAACTTATGTTGTTAGCACATTACAATTTCCCTACAATGTTGTGGTAGATAAGTTTAACTCAAGAAGAAAAGGATGATGCTATATGACCCGATGAAAAAGAGACTTTGTTTTTTACTGTGCTATATGAAAGGGTAAAAAAGACCCAACTCGAGTTTGATATGTCTCACCAACAATAAATGCGTGAAATTCGAGAAAGTATTGATAATGCAATATGAGATGATTATAATGTATGAGATGTCCAAGTATGACTTGTGTTCTGATAAACATAATCTCACTTATTGAACTTTCATTGTTGTGGAACATTTATGACAAATATTTGTGTTGTCTCAAATGTTTGTAATTGTGCATTTCTTTTCTGAATATTTAGTCAATGTTTTCTGGTAAAAATGAAATGAAAAATTGAAAAACTCTGGTAAACATGTTTTCCGATTTGGAAAACAAAAATTGGAAAACGAAAACAGAAAATTGGGGACATAAAAACTGAAAATTGTCTCTGTTGAAACAGACCCTAATATTCTAGCCGACTTCCAAAATGCACACCCTTGAATTCTTGAATAAAGTTCCGAGTTGAGGTTTTCTAGCCCATGAGTTTACACAAGAGACAGGCACCCCAATAATGCTTATGCGAAATACACATCATTCTATAACTCATCGTAACATAGCAAGCTGATGTTGATTAGTGTATGTTGGGTGTCGATTTCTTTCCGGCTCAGGTCTCCAACCCTTTTGCTATACTCTCACACACCACCCTAGGCAAGACCACAACACAACTCCAAGCTTCTTCTCTACCACTAAGGTATTCTCTCACAGTCTCACACAAAGGAAATGGAGAAGAAGAAGGGCACTGCTCTCTCAATACTCACGCAGGCTGCCTCAACAAGGGAGAAGCAAAGCTACTAAATAATAGGCTGGTAGACACAAGGACACTCACATGTGATGCAAAGACAAGGAGGGCAGCATAGGACAGCTGAAAGGGGTCACTCCACATAAGTCAAAATGGCCATATTATTGGTTAGGAGAGATTCAAATAAAGAGGTGCCAAAGTGGGAGTAAACATGGGGTGCAAGTCAATAATAAAGTGGAAGGGAGGCCTTGGTAGGACCAATACCTCCAACATTCTCCACCTTATTGGTCCTAGGTGGTGTAGAGTAGCAATACAAAGTTGTGAGGAGACTCATCATCGCCGGATTATTACAAGTACATCATTGCGATCATACAAGTAATAGATGAGAACCAAAGTTCCCTTTCGGACCAAGCTTACCGTGCAAACCCACTTCACGATGGACTGAACTCTACCAATCGGTCCTCGAGTTCAGAACCAAAACCATCACAAAACTATTAACAGTGTAGAAGATTTGGTACTTCTAATTTAGACTTATATATAAGTGCTTTATAGAAGAAATATAGGACATTAATTCTTGATCTCTAAAATGTTGGCAACGCCATGTGATATCAATGTTCCTAGTGTTACGTTCCAGTGTAATTCTAATTCTCTGAAGACACCGATTCTCTAACTTCATATGGCAGGACTATAAATAAAAACCAAGAACAGCTTCCTTTCATTTGCTAGAACGATCAACGCGACAATACTAATCATGGACCATGGTTATATGTTGTTTTATTTAATGGCAAAACATCAAAATACTTCAGAAATTATTATTTATTGTCTACTCCAGCAGTCTTTTTTTACTCCAGGGGCGTCTGGGGGAGGGGTCTGATGGGCTCTGGAGTGAACTGTACTGAAACTCAGTCCATTGAGTTTTGAACCCGATACCTCTCTTAAGAGAGAGTGAGTCGGCAACCAGTTGAGCTGAACCGTTTCCTCGTCTACTTTAGGAGTCTAGCTGATGTCCAATCTAACCAAAACAATAAGAGAAAATGGTCAAATAAGGTCTTCTACTATTACGGCGTCATCACATAAGGTCATTGCTCAATAAAGTGTCATATAAATACACCTACTTATAAAAAGCAATCGGATGAGTCCCGATGACCAGTTGACAACCTCTTAATCACGATTTTAGCTCACATGTCATTATTTTTATCTTGTATTTAAGTCAATCATACCCAAGTATTTCATGCAATCATATTATCTATTTTAAAAAGATAATCAGACATACGCTAAAACAGGGATTACGAGGTTGTCAAAAAGGTCATTTGACTCATTCGATTGCTTTTTATAAGTAGACCATTTATATGATACTTTATTGTGTGCATGACCTTATGTGACGATTTCGTTATAGTAGAAGACCTGATTTGAGCTTGTTCCCAAACAATAATAATGTGTGCAAATACTTGTTCCATTATTACACAAGTTATAGGGATGTACGGAGTATTTACCTATATTCCGGAAGATGTTCTCCATCTGGAACGATAAATTTGTCTTTTCAGTGAAATAATCATTTTGAGTTGAAAAAGTAAGCTTGGACTTATAAGAATATAACCTTTTTTTTGTCCTCCTAACGTGCAATTATGCTTTGCTCAACTAAAATTTATTTCAACCCCTGCTAAAGGTACCCCAACCTATTTTTGTGGCTCACAAAAGGTCACCTCAATAAATGAATTGCCCCATTTTAATGAGGTGCTTTTGTGAGCCACAAAAATAAGGCGGAGGTACAAATTGAGGTACCAATTGGGGTACCTTTAGCATTTCTCAATTTATTTAGTCCATTTATTTGACACGACATTCAACGTTTCACAACAAATCCCTTAACAATTAACACCCCCGGACATGGGCCTAGTTTCATCCCGCTCTTCTATATCGCAATGAAGGTCGCTAGAGGATTTGTATTTCTCTCATGCGTCACTATCCATTTTCTTTTCCCAAGTATCTTGTTGTTCACAGACCCAAGCATTGCCATCAGAATTCCGGATCGGAACTTCGAGTCTCTACCGGATCCGTCCAGTCGCCACCTCAAAACAGCAGTCTTTGCTCTCGGAAGTTTCTGGAGGTCTGAGGCGGTGTTTGGTTGCGTAGAAGGTGTCGTCAGAACCACTGCGGGTTACGCCGGAGGATCCAAAACCAACCCCGAGTACCGCAACTTAGGCGACCACGCGGAGGCTGTGCAGGTAAATACTAAATAGCCGTTTTCTTCAAGTGTAAGAATCTAATTCGTCGTTTCCGTGCATGAATCAGAAAACTTCTAATACTATTCATTTGATTGACCAATAGCATGTCGTTAGAGTTTAAACCTTAATATTTCCTAAGGATGACATGTGCTTTGTCTAGAACATACAAATTTGGTAATGGAGTTTACTGCATAACTAATTTTGGGAATGATTATGCACAATCATTTCTGAAAGGGGAAGTAATGCATGTACATTCAGCTATTTTAAAAATAGATAAGGAGAAATGCATATTATGTGAGGTTTCACTCTAGCATTTTGCGCATCAATTTGGTTGCAAAAGTGTTAATTTGATGAATTAATATTAAGTTCGGAATTAAGCACACATTAATGTCCCTATTAAGTATACTGGATCTTAAAAAAATAGTATCTTACCTAAATTACCACTGTTTAATCCTTTCTTGGAATGGTAGTAAATGCATAAAACAATGCTCTCTTAGCTTTATAAAACGGTGAAGATTGTGATAAAAATGTAAACCGAAATGAGTCAAATGACTTCTTGTTTTGTAAAATTGGAGTACATTGTTTAAGCCTCTCCTATAGTCTCATAGACTTGACACAAGACATCTATGGCTTCTTGTTAGTACTTGGAGGTAATTCTGGTGTTGCTCTTACTCCCTCATGTTCCAGCTTCTAACTCTGTGTGCTCACTTGTGAACAAGCATATGGTTTATGTTCTTGAGGCATATGATATTTGATTATGTCTTAGAGTCTCTGTACCAGTTTCTCTTTCTTCCTGGTCAATTTCATTTGTGCTGAACTATGAAACTTTCTTTCTGATGAAGAACGAAGAATCAGGTATCTATTAATGAAAACTTTAGGCAAGCACATTGTCATGTTGTTTGACGACATCACTGTGACACTCCCAAGGAGGAGGTCACAGGGTTGAAATGTATCTCAGTCAAGAATTTTAGCATTTAACTGAACAAATACTATAACAGATATCACGCAAAAAAATACTATAATAGATTAGAAATCACAACCAAAAAATTTAATGAAAAATTTAAGCCTTAGTTGTAGCTATAAACTTATAAAGTAGGCTCATCAGTATTGTGTAGCTATAAACTTACAAAGTATATTGGATCTTTTACTTGTGGCGTTTTTTTTAAATTGTATATTTGTTTGTAGCTATAAACTTATAAAGTAGGCTCATCAGTATTCTGTAGTTTAAATAAACCTCCTGTGAGTAATGCATAATTTCTCCATCTAAAGTATTCTACTTTTATTACCACCATTGTTTTTATGAGGCATGCATTAGCTACTTGTCTTATCTAATGGAATTTCATCATATATCATGTAGATAGAATATGATCCTACAACAGTTAGTTTTAGAGAGCTGTTGGAGGTGTTCTGGTCTGGTCATGATTCAAGACAAGTGTTTGGGCAAGGTCCTGATGTGGGTAACCAGTACAGGTATCACTTAGTGTCATTTCCTGCTAAAACATTTAGCCATTTACTTTGCAAGAGTGCATTGTTGAGAGCTTAAATGGTTTTGTGTGAAAGCAGATCTATTATATTTACAAACGGAGCTGAGGAGATGAGATTGGCTGGGGTCAGCAAAGAGCGAGAGCAATCAAGGTCTAAAAGCAGCATTGTTACCACTCAAATTCAACAGCTAGAATCGTTTCACCCTGCTGAGCCTGAACATCAGGTAATATCAATCTACCCTTGCTGTATCAATCAGTGGCCTGTTGGGATCCAAAAATACTAGAAAATGAAAAATAGAAAGGAATGAGGAAAGTTAGAAAGTAGGAAGAGTTCCATTATGTTTATTTATTTCTAGAAAGGCCTTTTGGAAATGAATAACCAAGTTCCAAAGCCATTATGTTTATTTATTTCTATTGTATACAGACTACGAAATTTAAATTAATGTAACATTTGAAAACATAAACTAATCATATTCCATTCCATTTTCCTTTTGGTTTCTCAAAGGGAATCCAAAGTCCAATGATAAGAAAATAATTTTTGTTATCATTTCCCCCCTTTCCCTAACCTTTTCCGTTTTCACAGTATAACCTAAAGGTTTGAAACCAGTTTCTATCAACTTCACATTAGCAGTCTGTTTGGTAGAGATATTTGGCTAAAATGGGTAGATGTGTTGAATTTGTTGATATTGTGATTGAGAATGGCTGACTGAGTGAAATCTATAAAATTAAGATTTACTTCGGTCTAATTTCTTTTATTAGCAGCTAGTTAACTAATTCAAGCATTTGATTTCCATAATGCAGAGATTTGAACTGAAACGAAATTCATTCCTTCTTCAGTTGATTGGGAACATGGGTGAGGAAGAGCTTGAAAGATCAACATTGGCAACAAAACTGAATGGCTATGCCGCAGAACTTTGTCCACCACGGATCCAAAGGCGGATTGATGCAAAAATTAATGATATCATAAAAAAGGGATGGCCCGTTTTGAAAGACATGTAGTTCACAGACATTGACCCCGGGACTTGTCTTGGTAGACTTTAATTTATGGTGTCTTTGAATGTTTAAAACCTAAACAAGTTCTGTGTATCACTACATCAACCTGTTATCCTGTCATTAGATCTGTAGGATTGATGTTCTAATTTCTTATAGATATGTTCAGATTGTTTGACATTTTATGTGATCTGAGTAAATAAATAATCCCCCTCTTCCTAAAGCACATTTTTTTATTTGTAGATGTGTTTAGTCGTCTAGATTTGACTTTGAGGATGTTTTCTTTTGGACTATTTTCAGTTCCAGATCAAACCAGACTTCCGTAGTTATAAAATACAGAGGCCAGACATCCGTAGTTATAAAATACAGAGGCCAGACATCTACCAGATCAATTCAGACCAAATCAGATTAGACTAGCAAATTTCCGTCCAAAAGAAAACATCTTGAGACAATGTTACAATTACCACAACAAATTCCTTCCAAATTTTCTAATTTTTTCTTCCTTATTGTCTTTCCCCTAAATTCAACATTCCAAAATCCAAATGGACACAAAATGTTGTTCAATCAAAAGCGTGAAAAGATGCAAGTTTTCTTGCATGACCAAAGTCCTATTTTGTAGTTGTGCGAGATAATTAAGAGCACCTCTTATGATGGTTGAAATTAAGTAATCAGCTATTCACCTGAACAAAAGTAACATTGAAATAAAATGATTTTTGCGAGTTTGCTACCCACCTTTACAATGGCAATTGTCTATCAAATCATCTCACAAACAAATCATGTTGTCAAGTAACACCAAATATCTTACATTGATTTGCGTGCAGATTTGTAGTGAACTTATAAAGTAAGAGAATAAGAATGCTTTGCGTGGACCAAAGCACTCTTTCATATTCGTGAATTTGATAAAATATTGATATATAAACTTATAAAGTAAGAGAATAAGAGTACTTTGTGTTAACCAAGTGAATATGAAAAGTATCCCTATGAAGACACTATAGCAATACAAATTTAAATAATTAAAACATACTTCAATTTGGTTCCAAACTTCTAGTGAACTAACAAATATTATGAAAGTGTGAAGACACTAATCAAAGTAATGATGTAAATGTACATTTAAATATTTAAATCATACTTTGGTCCGGTTCAGTCCGATACAGGTTCGGGTTCTTATTTTATGAAAACTGGTCATAGCATTGTTTGAACTAGTACAACAGTCGAGTCCGGGACAAAAATTTTGAATTCCGTTTCAAACCCCATTTTTTGGTCCGGTATTACCGTATTATACTGGTCCGCTTCAGTACCATGCCGAATGCCGATTCAACATTTTTGCTCACCCCTAATATTTCCGATCCCGAGACCCAAGTTAACATTTTGCGAACGCATTAGTGTTCCTGCATACAGCATACCGTACAATGGCTTGAAGAATACTACATTCCCTTTTAATTTACACTTTCCCTTGTAGAACCTAGGGGTGGGTTCGTAGAACCGAAAACCGAAAACCGAATCGAATCAAATCAAACCGCGACCAAATAAACCGAACCGATGAAAAACCGAAACCGAACATAAGAAACCGAACCGAACCGAACATGTTTGGTTTCGATTTCGGTTTTGACTCCTCAAAACCGAACCGAACCGAAAAAACCGAAATATTTAAAAATATAAAAAAATCATTTATTTTATATGGAGTATATGACCGGTCATGTGGTCAACGCTCAAGACCGAAAGCGTAAAAGGCTTTTTACGAGTCCAGTACTCCATAATCTTTTAACCTAAAATGTAAGAGGCTTAGCTCTCGAAAAAAGGAGCCGCCGTCGAAGACATGGTAGATCGATTCAAGATACAACAACAACGTCCAAGCCTTAGTCTCAAATGAAATTGGGGTCGGCTAACATGAATCGATACATGATATCACCACCAAAAGGAAAAGAAAGAAAATGAAGATTAAAAAATAAGCTATTATAAAAAAAGATAATATAAAACGGAATGAATATACATAAAAATGATAAAATTTAAAGGGTAAAAATAATGTTTATATATATAAGGATAAAAGAATAAAAAACACGAAAAAAAAGACGAGGGAAAATAATAATAATAATAATAATAACAATAATAATAATAATAATAATAATAATAATAATAATAATAATAATAATAATAATAATAATAATAATAATAATAATAATAATAATAATAATAATAATAATAATAATAATAATAATAATAATAATAATAATAATAATAATAATAATAATAATAATAATAATAATAATAATAATAATAATAATAATAATAATAATAATAATAATAATAATAATAATAATAATAATAATAATAATAATAATAATAATAATAATAATAATAATAATAATAATAATAATAATAATAATAATAATAATAATAATAATAATAATAATAATAATAATAATAATAATAATAATAATAATAATAATAATAATAATAATAATAATAATAATAATAATAATAATAATAATAATAATAATAATAATAATAATAATAATAATAATAATAATAATAATAATAATAATAATAATAATAATAATAATAATAATAATAATAATAATAATAATAATAATAATAATAATAATAATAATAATAATAATAATAATAATAATAATAATAATAATAATAATAATAATAATAATAATAATAATAATAATAATAATAATAATAATAATAATAATAATAATAATAATAATAATAATAATAATAATAATAATAATAATAATAATAATAATAATAATAATAATAATAATAATAATAATAATAATAATAATAATAATAATAATAATAATAATAATAATAATAATAATAATAATAATAATAATAATAATAATAATAATAATAATAATAATAATAATAATAATAATAATAATAATAATAATAATAATAATAATAATAATAATAATAATAATAATAATAATAATAATAATAATAATAATAATAATAATAATAATAATAATAATAATAATAATAATAATAATAATAATAATAATAATAATAATAATAATAATAATAATAATAATAATAATAATACGAGATCACTACTCCACACGAATACCCGCCCTCCACTTTGCTCTCTCGATTCAAGATGTGAAGCAAAAATGAGCGGATCTCCCTTTGGGACTGCATTTTATTTTGATTTCAGTTGGGACTGCATTTTATTTTGCTACACTATATCTAAGTTTACTACGCTTAACTTTTAAGTGTCATGCACTAATGTTTAGTGCACTTTATTTAAATTGTAAGGCAGTAATTGACTTTCTTCAGTACTTTGTGTTTTATTTTCCTGCACTTTGGTTATTTTGCACAATTGCATGTCATTTCTTTTTTCAGAAAGTATGTGTCTTTTGGTTTAAAACCGAAAAAACCGAAATCGAACCGAACAAAACCGAACCGAATTGACCGTGGTTGGACAAAAAATATGAACAAACCGAACCGAACCGAAGTTTTTAGTTTGATTCTACATTTGGTTTTAGGTCAAAACCGAACCGCATAAACCGAACCCACCCCTAGTAGAACCCATCTTTGAGTATTCTAGTTGTTTTCTTTCAAGGGAAAAAATTATACGGTTTCCTTTTCAATTAAATCTCAACAACTCAAAACACATTTTTATTTTCTTAAATGTAGAGCACTTCCACAACTTAAGAACCAAGATAACCAACAGGCTAGCTGTATACATAATTACTGGAATAAAACCAGAGAGAAACTTAAACACTAAGAAAATGCAGGCAATCCCGGGAAGTGTTGAAATAGAACAGAATGCTCTTTGAAGAAAATCAAAATTCAACAACCTCATGAAACTTTCAAGCTGTTCTACGACAACGAAGTTCTCCCTATCCTCTTCCTCTTCTGATATCAGCCCTGATCCCCTTCTCAATCCGTTTCACAACAAAGAACTGCGAGAGAAGACAAGGGAGATAAGAGTTTTTATTAATGCATTTTCCTGGAAATGTGAAGGTCTGGATGAGAAGAAAACAATAACCCCCAATCAAAACCTTACTTGGAAAGCTATTATGAGAGGAATGAACAATTTCCCTCTTTCGTTAGGGTTTGGTCCATCAATCAACTGTTGGTCAACCAAAATACCCTCTCTCCCACGTGATACAATGTCTGTGATTGTCTTAACAAGATCAGGTATCCATGCAATTCCATTTGGCAGCACCTGTGTACAAACCATGGTTAGAGAACAAGATGTCTTTTAACGAGAGTAAAAAAAATATCTAATGAAACAAGGCAAACCTTTTCATCACTTTCATTCTTCTTGCATCTTCCGCTGTTCTCAACCAAAACCAGGGGAATTGGAGTTCTCTGAGAGCAAGACAGCAAATTACGGGTAAATGCGACCCGTGAGTCGTGACAAAGAGCAGTTAAGCAAATAATCATCTCACTACGCACGAGGCAATCACCCAAAGACAAAACATATTCATGAATTTCAATGTTCTTTATTATTAAAATATCTAGAATAATCTTAATTTAAACTATCTACGAAGAAATTTCATAGCAATTTAACATTAAAATATTTTATAATTAAAAAGATCCAAAATTAAAGTATTTTTTGGGGGGATAATTTAAATACCCCAAACTTTGAAGAGGTGTGAGGTATGTGCCCTAAACTTGTATGTGTAATATATATACCCTAAACTTTATATAAAAAGTTATCTAAATATTTTTCTTTCACATATGTAAATTTATGGTGTTAAATAAATAATTTCAATACATTTATCATTTATGAGAGTTCAGTTAACATTCTTGCAAATGTTTTTAATTGTAGAAATTTCCCTAAATAGGATTAAAAGCATTTTGAAATTCCAAAATAGGAGTATCATGTTTTCTATTCCCTGAATAGGAATAATCTGCCAAGTTCGGAAAAAAATGACGTGTTAAAAGCCTTGTAATGTCAAACTTGGCAGAAATTTACTCCTATTCAGGGAATAAAAAACATGATACTCCTATTATGGAATTTCAAAACGTTTTTACTCCTATTTAGGGAATTCTTTCTTTAAGTTGTGTACTTAACAACATAAATTTACATTTGTGTACTTAAATCATTGTGCTATCATAACTTTTTATATGAAGTTCGAGATATTTACTCCCTCCGTTCCCGAAACAACTTCCCGGTTTGACTTACATACATATTATGGAAATAAACTTACCAGAGGGTAAATTTTACTATTTTGACACTGTTTGACATTGTTTTGATGTGGATAACTTGCCATTTAAGGAA